ATACACTTACCAATCTGTAACTTAAACTGCCATTCTACATATTATTTTTTAAATGTAAGTGGGGTGAAAATTCATTTGCATTCGGAAAATGCAGGTCAGTGCCCAGGACTAAAAACCCTAGAAAACAGCGGCCGGTTGGGCCTGGCAACGCATGTTTCCCTCGTCAAGAGGTTAAAATGCAGTTAGTGGTCACGTCAATACAAAAGGACTAAAATCTTCTCCACTGATAGTAGAAAAGAATGGGATCTACATTAAGAGCTGAAATGCACGTAGAAAAGCCAACTGAGAGATGTGAAAAGTGTATTGGAAAGAAAGGAACTCGAGTTGTTAAGTTGATAAAACTTTTTGAGGGCAATTTTCATTGGTTAAATCATTTATTTTGGGGACCGGGTAGTGTATGTGGCACACACGCACACGAGCTCTCTAGCCCTGTAATCCACTGTGTCCAGTATCTGCATCAGACAACTGACCGGCTCAGACAGTAGACCGATGCCTGAAAGAGGGAAGAGAGAGTGACGTCGGCGGCCCAGCGCACCTTTCGCCCTATTAACCTCGTGTGCTTGAAGCTATCATGTTGCGCTAAAAGCCGGAAGGTTGGAAAGTTTGTAGCGGACAGATAACAATGCTGTCCAAGTTAAATACCCACTGCCTCTGCGTCACGCAACTTCAGAGGGAGCATTTTTCGACCTACACAACTTTGACTGACTTTCATTCGCGGCACACGCGCGTCCAGGTAGCCGCGGCTGCCACAAGGGTCAGTTGAGCACGCCATCTTTCGGCCAGCGTAGTATGGGCCACTATACGCGACATTCCCTCGGTTAATGCAACACACCAATTGGACACCACTCGAGCCTGCCCCACAATCTTATAAGAGCAGCTGTCACCACTGTTTCACTCTCTGTCAAGCACGACTGGACGCACTCAACACTGGCCCTGGCTTCGCCAGCGAAAACTGTCACTTGAGACAGCAACTGGAAGTTTTGTGCACAACAAATCCCTTCACAAGTCAACTGACAGGATAACTCAAACCTCGCAGTCAACCTAGTGTTTACGTGGAGTGGCCAACTGGTGGACTGAGCGTCAGACTGTAATGACTCTTTCTTAATCTGACTCTTGTGGTAGTACCACTCAGTGGGACCCGAGCCGGCCCGCTTTCGGGTTGAGTTAAATCCTGATTCGTTTTCATAGACCAGGGGACGTATCCACACGTCTAGGGGTGGGTTAACGTAGTGCCGCCACCTGCATCCTCCCTCATCCTCGGTATTCTGAACTCTATCATGACGCGGGATCCAGATAATTTGTGCTAGTAGTTGAAAATAATTTACCCCCAAGTTAAACGCTAATTTCTGAGGAGAGTATAAAGCCGACATTTAAAAAGTGGAGTACCTATGAAGAAGCACACGAAGAATGCTGCGGACTTAGTGATGAGTCGGACTCCCTACAGTTGTGTCATGCAGCAGCAGAATATCGGAGAAACATGTGTCTGGATTTTTAACTAGTGCTAGCGGTATGATAAATCGTGTGACAAGTGTGAGGTAGTTAAGTACGCATAACGATGAAGTCGACCATGCACAGCAATGCATGGGGTCCTAACGGAGTTTATTGGATCAGGTTTCATGAAACAATTGAAAAACTTTAAGTCATAGTTAGCGGCACATCCGCTTTACCCTAACACTAATATTAACCCAAGGCGACATTGAGAGCTACAAATAAGTATATAACTTATTTGAACTACTTAACCGATATAAGTAGCGTCAAAATTATATTATATTTCGGAAGAGAAATGAGAGGGCGTAATTTCCCTTTTCAATTAATACAAAAGTTTTCGTTGTTGGTGCTAAAAATAATAATAGTATAAATTAATCTGAGCAATTTCAACACGGCTGTTGACGATTTCTGGATTAGGTAGAAATACGGTAGGCCTACTATAACGACAATACATTTATGGCGGAGGTTTGATCAGCTACAGCACGAGTAAGGCAAAAAGTATGTTGTTGAACGAACTTTGAAGGTTCGCGGATGCCGGCCGACAATTCCAAAAAGACGGACAGATAGTTGCCTCTGACTACACCGTTGCCGTCTGGGTACACTTTCAGACGCCAGCTGAGGCCGCCGACGTGTAACGGTGGGCTGTAGACGGGGTCAACACGTTGTCGAAGGAGGGTGAAGTTGCGCATGACGAAGGTGCTCGAGTCATAGGCAGGAACAATTTCACTGAAACAGAATGAAGGTCAAATATTTTTAAATTTTTAATTAATACATTAGAGACGAGAATCGATGCATTAAGTATTTGGTAAGATAACAATGACAAAGGGCTGTGCATTTTCCATTGTTGACGCTTGCGAAAACCTCCCTGAATTCACTCAAATAGGTAACCTGACAGAATAATTTGACTTGTGGGATAAAGACCTATAAATTTCACTGCAAACGCACAGAGAATCAAAACTACTCCGTCACAGTTCTGTAAAAAACGTCCTTTACTGGATAAGAGACCGAAACTTTGGTTGTTAGACGAGTAGCAGGCATTCCTTGCTTACACCCAATTTGGCATAAATTGAAAAACGAAGAAAATATAATGTAGATAATCACAGAGAAGATGGAAATATGGGGATTGGCGAATAATCCAATTGTAGGTACGCACTGAGATAAAAGGGTGAACGCGGCTCTATCTACAATTGAATAATTTTACTGCATCCGGCGGAAAGCGAGTCTGCGGCTGAAGGCTCAAGAGTTCTGCATCGTCTTCAGGGAGCAAAGCGCCCCAGTTTGAACATCACGTCTTCCCTGACTGTAGTAGTGATTTGACTGGCTGATGCCTTTCAGAAAGGGTCATTGTAGTCAATCCAGTTTAGTCTGCAATACGTCTTGATTAGTGGAGTGTTTATTCGATTTTAGTAGCTCGAACAGCAGCTACAGAACAAGTGATAGTCATAGGACCCTTAAACGATGCAAAAACCAAGGCTGGAGAGTCTGAGTCGACTAATTAGTGTACTGAATGCGGGTGGTAATTAAATGTGTCCGCAGATCATGCAGATATGAGGCAAATTAATTGTACAATGAAAACCAGTTGCCCCAGGCATGTGCCCCTATATGCAAAGCAGGTACCAAGCTCAGTTTTGTAGCTGCAGAG